ATATATATATATATATATATATATATATATATATATATATAAGAGTTCTTCCTTTAAGATTCCCAAATAACTGGTAATTTTGTAACTTTTGCTATTAAGTCCAAAACGTTCTCATTTAAAATCGTGGACTGACTTGTGGTGCATGCTTGGGAATCTAAGTATTTAAGAATTACTACACCTCGCAATTTTTTAGCGTTCTCTTTCTTTCTTTCTTTCTTTCTTTCACATTTGTTGAATAATTATTTTCGTATAGCAATAATTAATCTAGATGTTGTAACAAATGGTACCACACTTTGATGCTTCAATATTCACATGTATGATCATGGAACAATTATTCTATTATTGCAATTGCATCTTCATCTTTTACGTAAAATAAGATTAGAAGGCAACGACGCACGCGACTTACTTCCTTAAAATAGAAGATTACGTACTATCTTATTCTTTTTCGAGATTACTCGAAAGACAAGACAATAGTAACCATTCAACGTGAAACTTACCATACCATTCCCTTTTCTGTGAATACAATACGACGCACGAAACACCGTTACCAAATGTCAAAGAAAAATAACGGAGGAAAGTTATGGAAGTCGAGAGGAATACGTTGAACTATGGCGACGTCAGACTAACGGAATATTCGTATTCCGTCATAAAATTCTGTTCATATCCACATTTAACAGTTTTGAATACTTAGTTGTTCTGAGTCTTTTGATAATGTATTCTATCTAATTGGTTTAGTATAGGAAATAGAGTTATTGATGTGATCAAATGCAAAGAGATAGGTGCCCTTCATGGACAGCAGGCTAACAGTATTATAGACTTATATTACAGTGTTAGAATCATTTTTTCCTCAGGGTTTTAATGGAGTGGATTAATCACAAAATTCTGCCTTCTTGTGTATCTTTGCAGAGGATGCATGATATTGACAATTAGATTTATTAGAAGATTTAATTTCTTTTCTTAATTCACTGTTAGTCTATAACAATAAGCATATGAGGTCATGAAAAGAAATTGATGTATTTTATGCAAAAAAATTTATTTTTTTCTCAAATATTTTCCTGTACTTCATGTCTGAGAAAGGATTCTTCTCTATCCTTAATGTTATCACACACAATTTTCAGAAAATAGCTGGTAACTTGTTTTTATTATTTATTACTTTGTAATTTCAGGAACCATGATTAAGTTGTTCAAAGTGAAGGAGAAGCAAAGGGAACTCGCTGAAAATGCCAATGGGAAGGGTCATGTGAAAAAGCAAAGTGCTGGGGAGCTACGTCTTCATAAAGGTTTGCTGAAACCATTTGTGAGAATTGTTTATTTTCTTGAAATTCAGATTTTCTTCTGATTCATTGCTGAAGCCACTTCTGGGATTGTCAACTCTTAAGAGGGCACCATCATCAATCTTTCGGATAAGTGCATATCAATGCGTTGATGGTACTTTTTTACATATTCATGTAAACTTTAAAAAGTATGAAAACCCATATTAAAAAAATAATAATAAATAAATAAAAAATAAAATTCGTGGTGAAGTTCTCCCCCCAACCCAAAACAAAAAAGAAAAAAAGAAAACTTAATACAAGTCCTGGCTTTGCCACTATCTAGGGGACAAAAACAATTACCTACATTGTCACTCAATAACGAAATCATATCGTAGATTTCATTGATATGGCTGAATTAGAATTGGAGTTGGTTTGAAAGGGGTGTGGGTGTATGAAATTGGAAAATTGGATTTTGAAACCTTGACTACTGGCAATTTTTGATCAAAGATGTCAGAATAATCTGGTGATTAATAGCTGCAACACTTTCTTCTGGCCATCTATGCACACTGTTTAGTAGGAAGGCCTTCAATTGTGTGAGTTATGGAATCTAGTATAATTCGCATAGGTATCAATTGGAAATGCTTTGATCATCTTGTACTATTATCTTCCAGTTTAAAGGAGCATAAAGTATTGCTTGCCTGCTGATAGTTAATTAGAGAAAGTGTGTGTATTTGTATTTATCATGTAGTTATTCTCTGGCATTCATTATAGGTTATTTGCACATTTGTCTTTTGGTAAATCTTAGAATCCCCTAGAACCTCGAACCTTATCTTGCAACATGGAACAAGAGTAGTGTGAGGAGCCAGACAAAATGGGATCTGTAACGTTTTCTTCTTTAACACATTGCTTTTTTTTTTCTTTTTTTTTTTTTTTTTTTTTTTTTTTTGGTTAGTGTCTCTTGGCTCGAACCATGGATTACCCTATCCCAACTTACATGGGTTTTCCCTTGCAAAGTATGACCATTCATTGGTCCAGGTTTTTGAATCAAGGCACATTCAAGAATGATTGAGCATGTTAAGCACAGAAACACAACATGATAATTCCACTTTGATTTTGTACATGTTCGGTAAGTGATAAAATTAAGCTTCCATTTAGATATAAAAAATCAGTTTCTACCGCACAAATCACAATTCATAATTACTACCCATTATTATCCACATTTCATGTGACCCATTACTATTTTATGGAAGATTGTGTGGTTGAAAATAGGAGAGAGAGAAATGAAATGTAATGGAATGAAAATTAATGAGGGCCAAACGGGGGGCTTAATTGTGTAGGTCGTTAGGTGTTCAAGAATCATTTTCGGATTGCTATTGAGTACTGTTTATATTGTTAATGTAGAGTTTAATCTTCAAAATTCAACCTTGCAGATATTAGTGAGTTGAACCTACCTAAGACATGTACTATCTCTTTCCCTAATGGCAAGGATGACCTGATGAACTTTGGAATCACTGTTCGACTAGATGAAGGATATTACTTGTAAGTAATCGCTCATAGGTAAAACTTGTTATTGTCGGCAGTACTTAAGATTGACTGTAGAGATTGTATCTGGTTTATTATCTTGTTTAACCTTGTTATTTAGTTATCTTGACATATCTTCTACGTTGGCAGGGGGGGTGAATTTTTTTTTTCTTTCCAAGTTTCCCCTATCTATCCGCATGAACCCCCAAAAGTCAAGTGCATGACCAAGGTAATGACACTCTCTCTCACGTACGTGTTGAAAATGTGGAAAATGATAATAACATGAATTAAGGAAAAGAAATATTTTCTATTACGGAAGTGTGGCATTTGGTGCAACTATTTCTTATATATGTTTCACGCAATATGCAGGTCTATCATCCTAATATTGACTTGGAGGGGAATGTCTGCCTCAATATACTCCGTGAAGATTGGAAACCTGTCCTGAACGTTAACACTGTTATCTACGGATTGTACCACCTTTTCACCGTATGAATTTGGTTTTCCCACAAGTAGATTGTTGTTAAACTTTAACTCATTTACCGAATAATATTCTGGTTATATGTGTATTGTGATGGATGTTTCTGAATCTTCATGCAATAAACCTTGCAAAGTTTTGGTATTTATATGCAGGAGCCAAATTACGAGGATCCTCTGAATCACGATGCAGCAGCGGTGCTGAGAGAGAATCCAAAGATGTTTCAGTTAAATGTACGAAAGGCTATGGTGGGTGGATATGTGGGGCAGACTTACTTTCCACCGTGTATGTTTTAGCTCATCATGCAATGACTGTCGATTGTCATCATATCATAACATTTGAAGGTGCTCATAGTAAATTTCACTGTCATCTTTCGACCATTTCATTATGCAAGATATTTGCTATGACTTACCAGCTTGGTCTAAGATTTGCTTCTAGTTTTACATTCATCGGTTGATAAAATTTGTTTCATCTTTGCTGGCTATTCTAGTATTCTTTGGTCTTGCACAAAATTCCAGTACAGCGACTGCAGCATAAGCCGAAACGAGCCTTCTTGACACAACGTGAAGGCCTGACCGGACCCTGAAGGTGGGTCCACAGACTTGGTTAACATATTAGTAATTTTTTCTACAAGAATTTCGACTTCTCAAAATTGTGGTCATATGCATAAATATTTAGTATCTTTCATTTTTTGTTTTGGTACCGTGTTGAACTATCTTTCATGAAAACCTTAAATCGTTAAAGAGGGAGCAAACGACAGCCTTAATTGGGGTCAGAAATGTTGCTGTGATGCGTTAGATCAACTGCGAATAGAAAACTATGAATCAGTCGAGCCATCTTTGAATTGAACGTGTGTCCCTTCGCAATTATCACTCCAATAATTGTTGTGTTCAAAATTAATTAATTTAAAAGTTCAATTAAAATATTATAATCTTGCAATAATTTGTTTCTGTTTTAAAGTCGGTCAAATAGCGTGGCAAATTTGGTCACGAAATCTCTAAATTAATACAAATGGATTATGGGATAGGCAAGCTGACAAATATTATCAGCGATTTCGGCTGCGAATTATCTTCATTTTTCTAGAAGATGAGGTCTATCTATGTCATGGTCTGGTGTGCCTCTAAAAGTCCACGGACTAAAAAAATTTGGTCACTTCTAACTTTGATCTACTATCAAGTATGAAATTATGATATATTATCTAGCACAGGGATTAGCACCAGTTTAGATGACGATGAAATTTAAATCAATTAAAATAAAAAAAAATTACAATTGATTATCACTTGTAGAAAATGGAGGAAATGTGATATAGATGGTGTTAAGTACACTGATCCTAAATAATTTATTTCAAAAGAGTAATGTTGTTTCTACGTAGTCTAACTGGTATTTAGCTTCGTTGTTGAAAATAATCCATCCAAGTGGATGGATGTGATCTAGATGGGTGTATTGGCATCCCTAATATTTATAATAGGTTACAACAGGTGTTAAGAACCAATCGAGATGATAATTAAGTGATTGAAGATATTAAGTCCTTGATTGATGATTTTAATTTAAATTAAAGTTAACAATTAATTTTAATCACATATTTTACGTAACCCATTATTTTTAATCAAATATTTTATCAATTTCTATTATAATTTAATAAAAATTTGATTGTAATTTCGTGTGGGCTAAAACATAAAATTTATTTATAATGTTAATCACTAAATTATACATAAGAATAATTCTAACCAAACGGGCCCGTGACAGCCCGTCACAGTAGACCATCCCTATATATCCAGGAATTTGTAGGCTGGCATTTTTTGTTCTTTCTTTTGTTAAAGCAGTTTAATGCTATGCCCAGTTTGGTGCCTATTTTTCTTAAAATGACTTTTTCTACTCTTCTTTTCAATTACACATTTTTTATTAAAATAATATTACATATAAATAAAAAAAATTCCTTATTTTTTAACCACACACTTCCCATCAAATTATTATTTTAAAATATATTTTTATATAAAAATGACTCTCAAACACCCGCTATATATAAATAGGTAATCAGCACGCACGGCACCTAGCATTACTTATTCGCAAATATATTTTTTATTTGATTAGACAGCCCACTGTTACACCCGTGCTTCATTTATCTCCACCGTCTCATCCTGAGCTTCTTGCACTCTGTGTAATTCATGGACGGCTCAAAACTCCACGTAGCTATTCTCGTAAGTCCCGGCATGGGACACCTCGTCCCTGTCCTGCTTCTGGCCAACCGCCTAGCCACCCAACACGGCGTTAAAGTCACAGTTCTTGCTGTCACAACTTCTTATTCTCCGCCGGAGTCCCATTTGCTCGAAATCCCCACCGAGAAAAACCTTGTTGATAGAATTGAACTTCCGCCTGTTGACATTTCACGTCTTATAAAACCCGACACTAAAGTAGTGGCACAACTGTGCATGATGCTACGCGAGGCGCTGCCGGGAATCCGGTCCACCATCTCCGCCATGAACCACCGCCCCGATGCCCTTATCGTGGATCATTTTGGCACTGAAGCTCTTCCGATTGCGGCTGAATTCAACATGGCGAAGTATGTGTATGTGCCCACCGGAGCGTGGTTTACTGCCCTCACTTTATACTGTCCGGTTCTTGATAAAGAAATCGAGGGACAGTATGTTGATCAAGAAGATTTTCTGAAAATTCCAGGTTGCAAACTGGTGCGACCGGAGGACGTGGTAGATCCCATGCTGGACCGGAACGACCAACAATATGATGAGTACGTGAGCATGGGGACTCGGATTCCACAGTTTGATGGGATCCTGCTGAATACATGGCAAGATTTGGATTCTACAACA